GCAGCCCCCAGGCCATCCAGCATAACCAGGATTTCAATCTCCTGGTTTCTACCCTGGTGCCTTTAACCACTATACCACACTGGTTCTCAAGAAGAGATTTAGAATATGAGGAAAAATGAAAATAATGAGAATAGTAAAATATAAATAACAAGGAGAAGATGGGAAATCTCCTGCATCCTCCCAGGGTAAAATGGGAATTTGTATTTAATCTCCCTACAAAATCACAGCCTAAGAAGTTGGTAAAGTTCTGGAGCTGAGCGGGAGAATTGCTGGCTCCACTCAGGAGCAATTGCTTGCTCTGCTGAGAAAAGAAACTTTAGGCGGTGGTTTCTATGCCGTGGCACCATCTGTGCTTGGCAGATAAGAGGAAAATAAAGGGCAAAGAAACTGGACTTTGCATATGACCGCAGCTTCATGTCTGAGATGGATTCCTAATTCCAATTTATTTTCCTTTCTTGTAGTATTACACTTCACTTGAAGATTTCCTGCCCATCTTCTCCTGCCTTTAGCTATTCCCGAAGCCCCATCTGTGCTGTACCCCAGGTGAAGATAGAGATGGGATCCAATTATGAAGATACTGACACCGAGAGGCAGCACCCACAGGACATGGGCAGTGAGACTACCCTCTAGTCTCCACGTGGCTTTTTCCCCCATGTTACAGCCCCAGAGGTCACTGGGTCCTCCTGGGCCTTATCCACCACTAAAGAATGGAGCACAAAAATTAAATGAGTTGTGGAACTCAGGCACAGTGAGGAGCCCAAAGAACTTCACTCAGACATTGTGGAAAAGATACATCAGGACCCCAGAGTTTATGGGGTAAAGGAATTCCTTAGACTGGAAGCAGTTTTAGCTTATCAGATTGCATCCTTTTTGGACATAGGCAACTTTCATTGTGATGGGTGAGATGTTTCTGGCATTCTTCAGCAACTTTTTGAACTTGCTTGGTTTTGCAGAAGCCCCTGGAATTCAACTGAACCAATGGATTTTTCCTTCCATTAGTAAGTGAGCATTTAATCCAAGAAGCCATAAAATCTCCCCTCTCATCTCCCACTGAGATATTCTTGCAGACATTTCTTGATGAAACCTAAATTTCTGAGAAATAAAGCAGATAATCCCAAGCTTTGGTTTGAGAAGAATGGAACTAATAGTTCCAGGAGAATTCGTCTGTGGTTTTCTTAAGAAGAAAAAAAATCTGTGTTGAAAAAGTAGAGCTGTTTTTTCATCTGCCCCACCCCCCAATGGATGCCTCAATGATCTTTATTTTTGGGACCAAAATCCAACCAAGGAAGGAAAAGTTTACCCTTGCTGTTTTCTGTAAGCAAAGCCCCCCTTTCTCTTTTCTTCAGAAGTAATCAGATGATGAGCCATCCATCACCAGCTGCATTGACACCCTGGTGATAATCCTTGCCACCATGCTGGCAACACAATGTGACGTGACTGGCACCATCATTTTATGAGGAAAATGAATGAACCCTACTGAGTAACTTTTAATAAACAAGAAGCTGCATGGAAGCAAAAGTTGGACTTTGAAGAAGCAGGATAGAAACAGTATTGACACTTCTGAATGTTGACGTTGGAGCAGACTCTTGAGAATACCATGATAGCAAGGAAAATAACCAAATAGAACAAATCATTCGGGAGTTCTCACTTGAAGCACAAATGCCCAGGCTCAAATTACCAAATTGCGGGCACATAAGGTGAAGACCCGGATCCTTTGAGAAGTTCGTAATGCTGGGAAAAGTAGAAAGAAAGAGGACAGCCAGCAGCAAGCGATTGGACTCAATTGCAGCAGCAGTGACAGCACCATTGAGAGACCTAAACAGCCAGGCTGAGGAGACAATCCTAGAGGGAGTCTATATAATGACCGAGAATCCACATCAACCTGATGGCACTTAATCAAACTTGTTTTCCTTTCCATGTTGCCCACCCAATTTTTTTGGAGCGTTTTTATTCACTGATGGCTGAAAAATAAACCAGCCTTTTTCACTGTGAATTAACAGTAGCAAATAACCCATTTCTCAGTTCTCCCTTGCTGGTATGTTCAGATTTAGTTAAGAGCTACACACTGGTCACCTTGTTAATTTTCTGAGGCGTTGCTCTTTCAGTATTTTTCCAAATCCATGTAAACAAAAAAGCACATAATATCCTGTTTGTTTATAAGGGAATTATGTGTCACACTCTGGGAGGAGATTTCCCCACTGGTGTTTCTCTCATAAGACAGCCCCAAGTTTCAGTATAATAATTTTGCATTTGTGAACAATGTGGGAGGTCCTGCTGCCATTTCAGGTCTTTTGTTCTTTCCAACGTTCTCCTGAGCTGGAACGTTGGAGATTACAAAAGGGGTGTCTGTCTGTCAGCAACCGAACGCTCTGAAGCCCAGACAGAACGGGACCCACTTCAGAATGTTGGGGGAAGCCAGAAAAGAAAGTTTGAGCTTGGAAAAGAGCCGGGTCCGGCTGGGGAGAGATCTCCCCCGCTGCATTCTGATGGGAGAGGCAACCGGGCAGCCGCTCAGAATATTGCTGATCTCTCCGGTTCTAAGCTTTCCTCGCTTCTCCCCCAGATCACTTGACAACGCAGCCACCCTAAGCGCTGTGGTGTGCGTGCCTGTGCACACACTTGCATACAACACAAGGGGAGAGCAGAAAGACCCGTGGCACAGATGCATCATGTTATTTCATTTTGCAGACAGTGCAGATCCCTCCTGCGGCCACTGCAGGCTTAGCAGGATTTCCCGAAGCTGCAGGGTTTCCCTGCCTTATTGTCCTTTCCAGCCCAGGGCAACGTTGTGTCTACTGAGGAGACCCGGCCAGGCTTCCATTGGCAAGGGGAGACTTGAACCTGGGCTCCCCAAGGGTGTCTGGCCAAAGCCTTACCATTACACCCCCACTGGCTCAGGAGAAAGGGATATTGTCAGTGGCCTAAAGAATCTTGGGAACCTTTCCATCCCATTTTGAAGGACAGCAGATTTCTCTTCTGTCAGCTGGCGGCGGCTTTGGTCCCTTCTGGTAGGGAGTCTCCAGCCATCATGTTCTGCCTTCAGAAAGGAGACTGGAAATAGAAGCCCCTTCAAGAGTCTAGGCAGACGTATAGAAACTGAGTGACCCTTCTTCGCTTACAGTAGCAACAAGTAGTACCAAAATATAGGAACAGAAACACCTGCTTTGGTGCAGTTGTTCTTGGCATTGTCGCACTGAGTTGTAATTGGATCACTGCCCCTGCTGGCCTTTTCCTGGTTCTCCAGTCCACAGTAGGTAATCTCAGCAAGGTGAATTAGCAAAGTGCACCTCAGGAAAAGAGTTTTGGGCCGAAATGCTATGTGGAGCCAGCCTTTTCTTCTCATTCTAATGCAGTTAGAAAAAGATCCTTGCAAGCAAAGGAGTGGGTGGCTAATCTCCAACTGCCTCTGCATACTTCAGCAATAGGTTTACAATACCAACTGTCTTAAGGAGCATTTTGTACAGCACTTTGAGGGTTGTAAAAGACTCCAATTCTCAGGAAAAGGCCTCCCTGATGATTAAGAGCTCACCACTGTTGAGGCAGTCTTATGGCAGGAGTACCTGCATCAAAAGGAAAACAAGAACTGAACCACTCTAGCATCTCCCCAAACAAAATCCTTGGTTTCGGACCTGAAACTGCACCTTTTGTGCTGTTTTACAAATTGCATGTCCCTGTTGTGTTCACATCTTTTGAAATCTGCAGTTGGAGGGGTTACAGGTATGAAAAAAGAAGCAAGCTCTCCCAGTACTGGGCTGGGAAACCTCTTGCCCTGCAAAGGTCTCTGACTCCTTACAGCACGACCAGCGATGCTCATCCTCCCTTCCCTGCTTATCTCGCCATGAACTTGTCCCCTGAGCCACTTTTGAGGGGCACGTTCTCCTGACATCGCCTCCACCTTAACCCCAGCCCATTGCAGTGGCAGCTCTTCGGCAGGCCCCTCCCAATAAGGCTGCTGGTCACTTCCCTCTCCAGTGATTTTGGCCAGGTCTGCGAGCGCAACAGGACACTTGGCCTGTGTGGCCTTTTTGGGGGGTTGAACTTGTCGAGAAACATCAATGCATGGAAACACCAGCACTTTCTAAACGAACGCGCATCTTCCAGATCAATGTACCTACGTCAGCAAGGAAGTTTTGGAGGCTGGTATTCTGCGCATGTGAGCGCTCCTAAGATAGAAATTAATTGGAGCAAGGACCAGTGAAGTAGGAGTGATAAGCAGTGGAAAAGCAATGTATTTGCAGGAAATGTAGGGCTGGGCAAGCTACATCCTCTGGGCTCCAGCCACATGCGCCTGGAAAGGCAGGCGCCTCAGAGCAGAACATTCTTAGTGCTGGCAGAGGAACAGGCAAGAGGGGACAAGCAGACGATCCAGAACTCTTGACTGAAGTAGGAGAAACCTGCAGGGATCAGAAAGGCGCAGGGCGAGGCGGGAAGGCATCCTGAGGAAGTCCCTTGCCTTCCACCCTCTCACCAGATGCTGCCATCAATGCCCGTTCTGGCTTGAGCTGCCTGAGGGGTTGCATGAACCAGGAAGGGAGGACTGCCAACACACAAACACATTTGGTGGGACACTGGAAGAAGCAGGACAAGGCCGCGTGTGAGCGATCTCTGTCCTGACTGACAGCTCATGAGGGTTAAGTTTCCATCAGAAAGCAAGGCAAAGAGAAAAGAGTTTCCAGCTTCCGCAGCCATCGAGACCAAGGGGTGCAGGAACTCCTGGAGTCCTCAGCCCCACCCTTCTCCTCACTACAGAGAACAGTTAGGGGTAGTTTTTCTCATTGGTAGATGATACTTTTCCAAATGGCAGGAAATGAGTTGGGGGGAGAAGGGAGAGGGAGAGCGAGCTGAAAATAATCCAGCAGTTGCTGCCCTGAAACTCTCCGACATGAAATCTATACGGAGGGCAACACTGCCTGGGAACAGCAAAAATTACTCTGAGGCACTTTTCTGCCAACCCCAGGACATGGCCACAAGGAAGCATGCACGGTTCTACAGCCCCTGGATAAATACAAGTCCTTTATTCCTGATTACTAGAACAGCAATATGCGTGACATGCTCTAAAGGTTATACGATAGGGCATATTATTCGCGGCTGCAACCTTCTCCAGATGCACGGGCTTGAATCCCTAGAATTCCCAGAAGTGCGCTGGACAGCCACATGACACCAAGGCAGATCTTTAATCCATTCAGGGAAACATTATCCTGGCCGGGGGGCAACTGGCAGCAGAGGGAATCTGGGATGACAGACAAAGGAGACGCTTCCTCCCAGGTCGCCAGCTACACCACAGCTAAGTTCAGCCTGACAAAACATATGATGGAACTCAAAACTTTACAAGCAGATAGCAATTATTTTTATTCAGATACATCCTGCAATATTACTACTTGCCCAGGTAAACACAAAGCAAGTTGGTGCTTAGACAAAATAATGCTTACTCCATCTGGCTTTCAAGCCAATTCTTCCTTTAAAACAGGAAGAATCTGAGTATTGAACAAGCTATCAATTGCTTTGTTAGGCATTATTCAATATAAATATGGCTTTGTAGAAAAGAATAGTAACATTTGACTCCAGACTAGCTGCACTATAATCCTAACATCTTATACCCTGGGTTCGGCTGAGGTTAGCCAGTTAACATCAAGCATACACTAAAAGACTTCTACTATAAAGACACATTTTTGGCCCGTTGTTACTCTTTCTGGCTGCATTTTAAAGACCAAGAATTCAAACTGTGTTCTCATCTCCTGCATTTCAGAACGGCAGCTTAAACGGTAGGAATCATACATACAAATGGCAGGAGCCACTCTGCTTCGGAGGAAAATTGCTTTATATAAATATTGCAGAGCAGCTCACCAGTACATTTCATCAAATAAATAAATATTGCATTGCTTCCAGCCTATTGTTGGGAGACAATCTGGAATGTCGCTTTTGGCCACAAGAAGTCCACTGTCAAGCACTGAAGGCTTCCAGAGGCTGGGGTCTCAGCATTTTCTTGGCAGCAATAATGGTGTTCTTCATGAGCATAGCAACAGTCATGGGGCCAACCCCACCAGGGACAGGGGTGATGTAACTGGCTTTCTGCTTGACTCCTGAGGAAGGGGAGGAAAGGAGAAACGGAGCACTTAGAAGACAGGATCTAAGAAAGCCGCTCATCTTGGAAATGAGTTCCCCATTAACAGAGTAGCAAGGAGGCTCCATCCTCCTGCAACTGGCCACCCCTTTTCAAAATGTCCCTTAGCTTTTTTTAACTGCACAGAAACTCAAGATCAGGCTCCTTACGATAAATGCTCATACTTTACCTTCGGATGGTAATTGCCCTGAATTACTGAAATAAAATCACATACAGAACTCCACAATAACTTACCAGAACCCATAACCTACCAAATGCTTTTCCCAATAAATAGAGAGATGCAGGATAAAGTTTAAATTGTTGTACGCCACCCAGAGTTGCTTTGTGTGAGATGGGCGGCTATATAAATGAAATGATAGATAATAGGTAGATAGGTAGAGAGAGAGAGAGAGAAAAAGAAGGAAAGAAGAAAGGAAGAAAAAGAATGAATTACAGATTCTGGGGGCAAAGTATTAACTAGGGAGCTATATTAGCCACCAAATTCATTTCCTGCCATTTGGAAAAGCGTTGAGGTTGTCCAAAGGTAATGTCAGGTTCAGCCCAAAGAACTCCAAGAGACAACGCAAATACAGTTCTCTTGCGTTTATTAGCTTCAACCTCGAGACAGAATCTCCCCAGACTGAACCCAAGTTCCCAAGCCAGCCACCCACAACACCATGAATTCCTTAGGGAGGTGCCAGCCTCATCTTCTTGAACTTCCCACGCTCCCGCCGGGGGCTAAGAACACGCTTATCTCCCTGAGCCTGGCCTTCGTAAGTCCATGCCATCACAGGTAAGCCTCCTCGCTTGTTCAAAACTACCACCTAACTTCTCCACGGGAGTGGGGATGCAGTGGCAGGTGACGTTATAGCTCCAGTCACAGACACTGGACCCCCCCTTGTCAGAATGCAGCTACAAATCTTCAATCAACGAGGGATTTAGACCTTACAAATCAATTCCATACCTTCAAAATCCACATCTCCAACAAGCTTTGGCTTGGCAGTAACGGGATCCTGGATTCTATTTATGCCAACATCAATTACGGCAGCGCCTTCTTTGATCATGTCAGCAGTAATCAGATTGGGAATGCCTGAAAGTTAACAAAACAGCAGCTAATGTAAGAAGGTGCCACCGGAGTTCATCGAGCTCACCGAGCTGACAGGGAGATGCTCCCTGAGCGAAGCCCAGAGCTGTGCCCAGGCCTTTGGCTCGCCCCCCCGCCCGCATCACTCTCCAGAACGCGGAAAAGCCCCTGCAGGGTTATTCGCGGCCTCGCCACTCCGGGGGTCGACGGCTTCCCCTGAGGAGGCCCTCTTTTCAATCTTCTTTCCCAACAAGCCACTCGGATCTTACCTGCAGCTGCAACCACGATGTCGGCAAGGATTGTGTGCTGCTTGAGCTGCTCTTTCGGAGTGTAGCGGTGAGAAATTGTTACTGTTGCGTCCCCTAAATAATAATAGTAACACTAACGTGAGAACAATTCGCTCTGGACCTGTTACGCAGCCATCCAAAGCAGAAATGGGTGAAACAGTATTCACTAGAGATCCTGAAAGTTTTGAAAACAACTTGCTAAACTCCTGCATCATAATTACTAGCAGCAGCACCAGAATAGGTCCTAAAATGAATGAATCTGGGATGCCTTTTGGGCCGAAAGGACCACAGATCCGTCCTGCTCAAAACAACGCGTAGGCTAAGCATTCTAGCTCTTTACAGGAAGCCCCTTCGATCAGGCTACAGTTGATGGATCTCATGGTCTCACTAAAGAAAACAAAATGCTTGCCCAGCCCTGGGAAGACAACTGATCTCCTGAGATAAGGGAGTGGGCAAATCACCGCCTGCAGGAAGGCGCTCCCAGAGAGATGGCAGAATTCCCACCCCCGCCATTCACCTTCACCCTCCTGTTTAGAGGGCCCTTGCTTCCAAGATCCCAGCACCTCGGAAGCACAACAGAGCAAATACACAGCTCACTGCTCTCCCTGCCCACCCGGGTCCCTAGGCTGCCGGGTGGCTCCGTGGCCATCTCGCGCCCCCTGAAACATGCCTCCGTGTGCCACAATGCCCCAAGAGGACACGCAAATCTCAACCTTCCACCCCTCGAGTCTCGGCAAAGCCAAGCCACCAACCCATCCGGAGACCAGCTGGACCCTCACCTCCTGGGCGCTCGTGCCGTCCGTCCGTGTGGAGAAGCATTGCAATGGGCATGCCGACGTTCTTTGACCGCCCGGCCACCACAACGTTCTTGCCCAGAGTTGGGATCCCTGAAATGCAGCACACAAAAGCCCTGTCAGAGAAGCTGGGGACTTTTCCCAGGAACTTCCACCACCAAGAGGATTTGCACCCAGCTCCTACCTGTCCTCTTGATGATCTCCCACACGCCCCAAGGTGTGGCAGGCAACATAGAATATTGGTCCAAGCACATGCGGCCTACGTTCACCACATGGAAGCCATCCACATCCTTTTCAGGGTTCACTGCATTGCAGATCTTTCGCTCATCAATATGGTCTGCAGGAAAGGGGAGACTCTCAGCGCAAGGGATTCCACGTGTCCGACCATAAAATGGGGCAGTCCAAGGGTGGCATGGGCAAGGAGCGAGGGGAGCTAGCAGCAAGTGAGACCCTTCGAGAGGACTGCAGACTGCCAACTGATGATGGGAATTAATCTGTTGGGGGTTACTGTGCAAAGCGCAATCAACTGGACTGGCAAAACTCAGAAGCAACGGGTTGCCTCGCAGCCTTACAGTTCAGCTTGGTTTACTCCAAAGATCAGGGGCATCCAGTGAGATTCCCTCCCCCCAAAGCCCAACCCTTGCTCACCTGGTAAAGGAAGCTGCACAAGCAAGCCATCGACATTTGCATCGTGGTTGAGCTTGACAATTAAATCAAGCAGCTCCTCTTCTGTGACAGAGGCTGGTTTTAGGATTGTTTCACTGCTAATTCCTGCAAGGAATAAATGCAACGTAAGAAGCCGGAAGTTACTCGAAACAGCCTCTCCGTGTGCCGGTTACTGTGGCCCAGAACGGAAGAGGCCAGCGTTCGGAACACCTCTTGGCAGCTGTCCAGGATCCTACTTCAGGACTGCAACCCTAGCCACTGCAGCCACGTCCAGCAGCCACGGGAACAACCGAGAAGGCAGCCCTGCTGAATGCCCAGCCCTGCCGCAGGTCCCGTTCTCATCTGCCACGAAGCGCCCAAGTGCCTGAAACCACCTATCCAATCGCTAAATTCTGCGCCCAGGCCATAAAGCTTTGCTATGCTCAGTCCCACCACCACCGACACTGGTGATTCCCTTAGCTGAGATTTACGCGGCGTTTGGTCGTTTATGATCTAGGCTTGGACTGTCATAAAATGTTTGCTTGTTGTACTTGATAATAATGCCGCGGCTGGAGGAGCTGCCGGTCCCCAAGAGGAAGGGGCCGGATGAGCCCCTGGAAGACAAGTGCGTCCCTTCCCGGCCTTCAGAACAGCCAACAGCCGTGCTGGAGCAAGCGCTGCCTGGCAGAAGCCCAGAGGGAAGGCGCAGGCCGCCCCTGTTCCCGCAGCTAAGAATAGCCTCGACAGCTTGCTGGGAAAGGTGATTCAGGCAAACTCACCCACGTCGGCTGCTGCTCGGGTCTTGTTCAGCACGTACGAGTGGCTGGCGGGATTTTCTCCCACGAGAACAACGCTGAGGTGGGGCCTTTTGTGGCCAGCAGCAACCCACTGCTCCACTTCGTGGCAGGCTTCTTGCCTAATCTGCCGGGCCAGCTTCTGTCCAGAAATGACAATCGCTTCGTTCCTGCAAAGGAGAAGCTTCTCAGACTTCAGCTATTGGTCCTGCCTCAGTTTCCCTAAGCAGCCCAGGCCATTCGCGCACACCATCCCCAGTTGACAAATGAACAAATGCACCCAGCGCGCAAAGAGAGGTTCCCCGCCGGAGGCCACAGACAGCACCCAGGCCAAGAAGGTGGCCGCCGAGAGGATGAGGCAACTTCAGAACTGAGCCCCGAGCCGGGCGCTCTGAGCCCAGATGCCCAGAACCTTCCCGCTCGCCCTGTGAGACGCCACGTTCCACGGACACACGCAGCAGAGGGGATGGGAGGCCAAAATCTTTGCTTCCTCCTGCTACTGCACACTTCCTCTTTAATTTCCTGGCTTCCATCATATGTCGCTGTCGCTACACTTCATACAGGCATTTTAAGCAGAGCCGTTGCTCTTTTGGCGTTATCCTGCTTTCCCCACCAAGCGCCCTCTCTGACCAGCGCTCGGACGGTGCTGCTGTGCAGTCCGGCGGCTCCTGAACAGCAGAGGACGGGGCTCCTCCGTCCAGGAGGACTGCCGGAAACCCCGTCCTGTTACCCGCGACCTCGCTTGCCCGTTGCTGGGGGCAGCCGGTGCGCCCACCCCGCTGCAAAAAGCGCGCACGGCAGGCGACGTCCCCCCCCCAAGAGCGACGAAGGCGGCCGGATGGCAGCGCGCGCGCCCCGAACGCGCAAGCCGGTTCCCGACGCTGGGGCGCACGGCCGGTCCCCGCCCCGACCCGCAAAGTGTTCCCGGAGGTGGGGACAGCAGAGGCGGCCCGACG